CAACAAATGGCCATGCACTGGGTTGCTTAAACAACAGAAATTTCTTCGTTCACAGTTCTGGAGGCCAGGCATCTGAAATGAAGGTGTGGGCAGGGCCATGCTCCCTCCAAAGCCTTCAGGGCAGATCCTTCCTTGGCTCTTCCAGCTTCTGGTGGTTCCAGGCATCCCTTGGCTTATGGCCGCATCACCCTCTCTTCATGTGGTCATCCTGTATGGAGCACGGGCTTGGGGGAGGAGGGCAAGGCTACCGAGGGAGACCCTACCTGCTTTGTTCAAGCATCAGGCCTGGGCCTGGCTCACACAACTCCTCAGTCAATGCGGGAGGAAGGCAGGGAGCCAGCAGTGTGGGGGCCTGGAATCCACGGGGGGAAAGTGTTTGGGGCAAGAGGGAGTGTGTTGTGGTCACTCAGCAGAAACATGATGGACCTCCACCCAAAATTTGGTTTCAATGTGGCAACTGATGGTGCCACAGCCACCAAGAGGTTATGAAAATGTTCCTTAATGAGGCTTTGTTACATCCTGAAAATGTTGTATACTGAGACTTTCTGGGAGACAAGGGGGCGACGTGAAGCTGGTCAGAAAATGGCTTGAGAGGGCATGGAAAGGAGACTGAGGGGCTCGTTACGATGGTGGGGCTGGCGCTGGGCCAAGGACCTTGTGTGCGGCGGGAATTTCCCTCTGGTGCCAAAGGAGGGAACCGCCAGGTCTCACCAGCTTGCCCAAATGTGGGGCACCAGGGGATGCAGAGGACGAATCTTCAAAGATGCCAGCGGCCGGACATTAAAGTACAGAGCCAGACCCTTTATTATAGAGCAGTCAACTGCAATGAGTGCTTCTGGGAGGAGTTGGCTCAGAGGTGGCACATGACCTTGGTGGATGCTATGGTCTGAATGTATCACCCCCCTCCCACGCAACCCCAAACTCACGTGGTGAAATATGAATGCCTGAAAGTGATGGTATTTAGAGGTGGAGCCTTTGGGAGGTGATTAGGTCGTGAGGGCAGAGCTTCATGAATGCCATTCATGCCCCTATAAAAGAAGTTCCAGAGAGCTCCCTCACCCTACTGCCATGTGATGACACAGTGAGAAGCTGGCAGTCTGCAGCCCAGAAGAGGGTCCTCACCAGAACCCAACCATGCTGGTCCCCTGATCTAGGACTTCTGGCCTCCAGAACTGTGAGAAATAGAAGTCTGTTGCTTTTAAGCCACCCAGTCTGTGGTGTTTTGTTACAGTGGTCCAAATGGACTAAGATGAAGACAAGGTAGGAAGGGGACAGGGACAACAGGGCCCTAACACAATGGGCAGGGCAGGCAGGAGGCTGTGGGGTCCAGGGACACAAGCGGCTCTCAGAGGTGTGGGGCTGAGAAGGGTGGGTAGGCAGAGGGCAGTGGGGGTGGGACATGGACCTGGAGGTGGCTACTGGACTTGCTGACGGTGAGAGGGAGGAAGCCCAGATGTGCTGGTAGAGATGGGGAGCAGAGCACGTAGAGAAGAGAGGACTGGAGGGGTGGGGAAGAGAGGTGACTGTGGACTGAGGCTCTCTGATACTGAGAAGGTTCTAAGGACAAGTGGCAGGACTGGACTTGGACAAGGCTGCTTTTCAACTGGCTATTCCCTCGGTGCAGTCCGCTGGGGAGGATGTAGGCAGGCCAAGAGCCCTGCAATCACACCATGCCTTTGAAGACCAACAGGCTTTCTGTCAGCCCTACCTGGACACAGACTTCCCTCTGCACTCAAAATGCCTCTCCCCTTTGCCTCATGAGCACCCCCCTCATTGGATGATAGCACCATTGTGAGGAGGAGGCGAGGAAGTGCTGGGAAGTACAGATCCTCTTCTGCTACTATTGTCCGTCCCACCTTTACGGACCATGTGCTCAGTGCAGAGCCTGGGAATGATCCCTCTGCTAAGGGCAGGGGATGGGGTAGGACTGGGTGGGGGCTGTGGGGAGTGTGCAAGGGGAGATGCCACATTTGGGAGGGGTGACCAGTGACAGTGGGGAAGAGACCCCACACTGGGTGTGGCTTGCCAGGGGGAGAGGAGGCACTGCCTGCCTACAGGTTTGCTGGCTCAAACTGGTGGCTAGTGAATTATTCATCTATCAACCACTGTGCCCAGGATGCCTGTCAGGAGGATGCCTGGTGACCCAGGGTTTTAAAAATTAATGTGTTTGTTGAGTCATTTCCCCAACTCACATTCACAGGCACCTATTACTTGTTCAGCCCAGACTCCGTACCACAAAGGGCCCAGTGGGGGAGAGAAGTTCAAGCTGTGCTGTTTAACTGGCAAACAGCAGGTGGGGCCAGTGGGCCAGGGGCCAGAGGGAAGAGTGATTCAGTTTGGGTGTGTGCATGTGTGTGCACATGTGCAACCTTGCACGTGTGTATGTGTGTTTGTGTTCACATGTGAGTGTGTGGGGGGCATATGTAGTGTGCATGGATGTGGGGAGCTGATAGGCCGCAGCCCAATCCCCCACAACCCACAGACCCCTTGGGTGGGTGGTCTAGGGGCTCTGGGTTTTAGCCTTGGGCCTGGGCATGGGTGGCACTGCTCCCAGTCTGGGGACAAACAGCAGGGACAGAGTGCTCAGGGCATGAAAGGGGTCAGCAGCACAGGCGGCTGGAGGCCCTGAGCACCTCTGAGGTGGGGCAGGGACACAGGACAAGCATCATGATGAACTTTTCCTGCCTATGTTGAAAAATGCCAAGATAGAAACAGTATAGTAAGAACAGGAGGGACTCCATTTAAGGCTAAGATTCCATTTTTAAAAAACCAGGGAGTTAGGAGGTAGGATTCCTAACATACTTTTGGTAATCAGCCAACAATCGACCGTATCTTAAGGCAAATCATCCTAGATGGTCTGTCCGCACTGCTTGAGGGTAACCGTATCTCAGAGAAGAACAGGATCAAGACATTCCTTGCATTGTTCATCTGACAGAATTATCTAGAGGACTGACTGGATGGTATCTCTGGTTTGAGGCATTAAGGGACCACATGTCAAGCCAATGTCTCCCACCCCCCACCCTGCCACCCTTTACCCGATTCCTGAAAGCCTTAAAAGAATCCTAAGCCCTTAGTGCACCTCCTTTCTGAGGCTGCCCGTACTCCTCTTTCTTCAAGTGTGCACTTTCTGCCTTAAATCAAGACTTCTCACTGCTCCACTTACTGTGTTTTGTCTGCGCTCTACCAGGGGCAAGCGTCTTTGTTATTCAGCTATTTCATTCAGTTTTCTAGACTTAAGCACAAGTCTTCACTCTGGCCTACTTCAGGCAAGGAGGGAGAGGCCACTGAGAGCTCTGATGTAGGCTTGCAAGTTCCCCTCGCCGGGGTGACGTGGACAGGACTGCAGATGTACAATCTTGCTCTTTAGCTTCCTGCCTAGCAAATCTCCTGTCTTTGCCTTTGGGAAGTTCCCAGAACATAATCTCCCTCCATCCAGTGCTCCACAATGCCCCCAGATCCTGGGGTGGGTAGGGGCTTAGTTCCCAAACCATGCAGATTCAGGTGGACACTGGACACCAGGGGACTCTGGCTTCAGGAGTTGGCAGGGGATCTGCCCCATGCCAAGCAGGAGTTCACTGGGCTTTCCTTTCCTCCCCTGCTCCCCCTCGCTCTCTGCTGCCTGCAGGCAGCTGCCATTCCCCGCTACTCTGGCTTCAATGAACTCCTTCCTTACCTACACTCATCTGACCTGGTCGAGAATTCTTTCTCTTCAGAGTCAAGAACCCTTCCCCATCCAGGCTGAGGTTTCATCTAGTGTGCAGGAAGGGACCTCCCCAGACGCAGCTGCCTGGCAATACCTCCACACTCGTGCATGTGTACATACACGCACATGTACTCAGCCCAGAAGGCCTGTGCCTTGCCTTGGACAGAGGGAGCTGGGGGCAGGATGTGGGGCAGGAATTCCCTCGCTGACCAGAGCATGTGTGAAGACCCTGAGCTGGGGGAGCGTGACCTTCAGGGAACCACCCGTGGCCCTTGTCATGAGCGACAAAGTGGTGAGACCTGAGGGTGGTCGGTGACAGTGACTTCAGAAGGACTGGCATGTCAGGTGAAGGCCTCGTGCTTTTTCCTGAGATGGAGGGTTCCCTGGGGGATGTTAGGCAGGGCAGGGTCCATGGCATTTTGGGAAGCTCACCCTGGAGACTGGTGTTGTAGGCTGAGTGGTAGCCCACCCCAAAGTGTGTCCACATTCTGATCCCAGGAACCTGTGAACATGACCTTATCGGGCAAAAGGCTCTTTGCAGATGTGATGAAGTGAAGTATCTCAAGTTGAGATCATCCCAGATCTTCCTAGTGGGCCCTAAACGCAGTGACAAGTGTCCTTATAAGAGACAGAAGAGGAGGGACACAGACACAGAGGAGATGTCCATGTGATGACAGAGGCAGAGACGGGAGTGATGTGGCCACAAGCCAAGGACCCTGGGGCCCTCAGACGCTGTGGGTGAGGAAGAACCCTCCCCTGGAGCCACCGGAGGGAGCTTGGCTCCGCGGACACCTTGGCTTCAGACTTTTGGCCTCCAGATGGTGAGAGGATGCATTTCTGTTGTCTTAAGCCCCGCAGTGCATGGTGCCTTATTACAGCAGCCCCAGGGCAGTAACCCAGCTCATGTACAGAGAAGACTGGAGGCAGCTGGGCAGGCAGGGTGGCTAAGGATATCAAGGCTGTCCCAGGCAGGTGGGTGGTCAGGGTGGCTAAGGATATCAAGGCTGTCCCAGGCAGGTGGGTGGGCAGTGGGGTGGAGACTGCAGGATCACCACCAGGCTCCAGTCACCTGACAAGAAGGGCTTGGGAGTGGTGGCTGTTTCTTCTCAATGTTCCCAGATCTCTCAGTTCCTAACGACTCTCGAACTGGATCAGAAGGCCCAGCGTGACTCTCACTAACTTGGGAGTCCCTTTGGTGCTCTACAACATCTCTAATACCTGATGCACAATTTCCTGCTTGTGGAAGACACAAAGGAAAGGTGGGTTGCCATTGTGCGTTGAATATTCAACAATGTTCATTCAGCATTTATTAAGTTCCCACTGTGTGCCAGGCTGGAAAGGTATCCAGAAAGCAGATCCCCAAGGGATGCAGGGCCCCTGGAAAACCCAGAGACAAACACCCACAATGCCCTCATTCTGTGCACAGCATTTCCTTTGAGGCACTCCGGCACACCTGGATTCGGGTTTTACGAACACTGACATTGAATCACACACCTTCTGTTGGGAGCTGGTGACGCCTCTGAGTGACCTCCGGCAAGAGTCCTGCACCCGGCTTTGGTGGTCACCTCTAGCTCTCCAGGTCCCACACCATGCAGGACCACCAGCCCGGAGCGACACCTTAGTCCGACCACAGTGGCTCGCTGCTCAGGTACCTGGGGGTGCCGTCGTGCCCCAGCCCCGGGCCGTGACCTAGCTGCGCCCTGGCAGCGAAGCCCCATGGGTTCCGGGGGCCAGGGGTCGGCCTGAGGCTCCCTAGGTTGGGCGTGTGGCCTCCGCAGCCAGGGAGGGCGGCCCAGGTAGCGGGGCGCCCGTCTCCCGCAGGCGGCCGTCGCTCTCAAGGGGCGGGGGGGAGCGTCCGCGGGCGCCAGCAGCGGCATCCGGGAGGCGGAGGACACGCCGCTGCCCCCACTGCCAGCCGGTGCGCCTGCGCCTGCGCCTGCGTGCAGCCACTCGCTGGCCCCGGGGAGGGCCCGGGACCGGGGCGGGAGGGCTGGCTGGGCCGCCGGGGCGGGGCGGGCCGGGGCGGGCCGGGGCGGGGTGGCCGCGCCCGCCGCGTGGACCCCGGAGCTGGCCGCCGCGCGCGGACACTTCCTATCGGCGGGAGGAGCTGCGGCCGCGGGGCCGGGCCTCATGGAGGCCTTTGGCCCGAAGGACTACGGAGGAGAGGACGCGGCGCTGCGCGCCGAGGGGAGGCTGGCCCTCGAGGCAGGGGTGCATTTCCGAGTGACGAGGTTCATCATGGAGGCAGGTAACCGCCACTGGGAGGAGGGCGGGCCCCGCGCGGCCGGGACGTGGAGGCCAGGGCTGCGGAGCTGCACCTTCGCCGAGCCGATCTGCGTTGTGGGGACCGGCTGGGAAGAGGGAAGAGGCCGAGCCTGACTTGCACTAGCACAGACCGGGAGGCCCGGCTCAGCGGTGCGGGCCTCTGCCTTTCCCACCACGCCCTGTGCGATAGGCTCTCCGCCGCAAGGCAGACGCGGTCATTGCCATTTCGCACGGACGTGCCGGCCCAAAGCGAGGACGTGCAGAGGGCCTGGCCCCAGCTAGAGGGTGGCCGAGTCGGGGCGCTTGCAGCTCTCTTGAATGTTCCGTGCCTTCTGCCACACCTGTCTCCCACCACGAGGGGACTCTGCCTGGCCCTTAAGCACGCCTTTGGTGAGGCTCCTGACAAGCCTTGTTGGCGAGGTGCCGTCACCCCGAGGACCCAGGGTGCAGCTTGTGTGCTGAGCCCAGCCAGGGCGTCCACAGTGGCTTTGGGTGCTGCTACTCCCCAGGGAGGCACGGAAGCCAGTCAGACGCCTGTAGAAAAATGTATCTCTCTCTGGCAATAGAATATTGCTCAGCTGGCAGACAGTTACTTCCGATCTTTGTTTCTTTGTGTGCACTCTGAGGGATGGGGTTGAATAGTGAGTCTGCTTTCCGGTCAAGGTGGGCGGAGTCTGGGGAAATGGTGCCTTACTGTTAATGCCTGTGATTTGTACATTTCATTTCCAGGAAGGCCACCTGCAGCAATATCACCTTATCTGACATTTCTGGGAATGAGGGGTCCCGTGTAGGAACTGTCTATCTAAATGAACTTTAAACCTTGAAATGCTAAAAGCTCTTTCGGTATTGCTTTTGAAGGATTTCTTTATAAAACATACTGCATATGCCCTTGCCTTCTGTTAAAGGCTAAATATTGGTTCTCCAAAGATGTCCCCATCCTAATCCCCAGAACCTGTGATGATCACCTCACGTGGCAAGAGATTTTGCAGGTGGGATTAAGCATCTATGTGGGGGAACAATCCTAGGCTGTTTGGTGGGCCTGATACAGTCACACCCGTCCTTAAAGAGAGGCAGGAGGAGGGACAGGCCGAGGAGAAAGCCATGGGATGACGGAAGCAGAGTTAGGAGATGTTGCTGTGCCACTGGCCTGGAAGCTAGAGGAAGGGGCCACAGGCCAAAGACTGCAGGTGCCTCTAGAAGCCAGGAAAGGCAAGGAAACAGATTCTCCTTTGGAGCCTCCAGAAGCAACCAGCCCTGCTGACACCTTGAGTTTAGCCCCCTAAGACTCATTTTGGATTTCTGACCACCAGGATTGTAAGAGGAAAATGTGTGTCATTTTAAGCCACTGAGTTTGTAGTGATTTGTTACAGCAGCCCTAGGAAGTAATCCACCTGCTTAGGCAGAGCATGTTGAACATAATTTTAATAACTGGTCAAAGCCACCTTCTTTCAGTTGACTGAATGTTATTCAACCTTCTCTTATTCACCGGGGCCACTGTGCATTTGTTTCGGTTCTGCGACCCAGTGCAGTGATTTCCTTAGGAGCTGTCCGGGGGTGGGGTGCAGAATGGGTTTGGGGTTCGGGTCCCTTTTCAGTGCCTGGATGTGGCCACAGGGGTGGCTTTTCTCCTGCTCTGCCTCCAGGCCCTTTGACAGTCACCCTGCTTGTTCTCCTCGCCTTTTCCAACCTGCAGACTAGGAAACCAGTGCTGATTATCATCTTTAACTGTAACATCAGGATGTGTAGTGCCTGATGCTCAGAGGCCTTTTTTCCCTCCTGTCATCTTGACAGGATCTGGTTAGGTGAGCTGTGGAGGCAACCTCCGGTTAAATGCTCGCTACAGCGGAAATGGACGCACAACAGCTTGTGATCTTTTCCAAGATGTTGTGTAGAAGCTGATATGCCAGGTGCTAACTGAGCAGCAGTCTGAGTGCTTGCTTCTGTCGGCCTCCTCCCGTCTCCGACCCGCAGATAAAGGAGGCGATGCTATGAGATATCGAAGACCTGAGTAGGCCAGCCAGGGGACTCAAGGCATACCAGCTCAAGAGCGGTGCTGGAAAGGCACCTCTCATGTTTGTTGATCAGGCATCATATTCTTGAGTGGGTTAACAAGTTTCTAGACACAATGATTAACATGCTTTACTACAGGAATATAATTGCCCCCAGGTCGCTGGGGCAAGTCGTCCCTGGTGCCAGGCAATGAGGGGGTAGAGATAACAAGAAACAGATCTCGGTTTAGATTTAGTGAGCTGTGGCATGCGCCACAGATTCCAAGGAAGGCAATCAATTCCCATAGAAACAGAATGATCTGTGGATTGCAACCTACATTTCCCCCATTTTTAAATTAAAAAGGAAGAGAAGTCCATTATTCTACTGCAGCTTGGTAAAGGAAGGGGCGATAAGAAATGCCTCGTCGGTGGGGCAAGGTGCTAAGCCACGCCTCAGTTGGCCCCCTCATCCCTCAACCTGTTGGCCCCCACAGCTGTGCCTGTCTTAGGTTGTTCCTCCCGTGAGGAATCTTACCCGTCTCTGGTTAACCAGCCACCTCATGGGACTGTACAGAGAGTAAATGTAATAGAGCAAAGAGGCATACAAAAGATCTAGGCAAACACCTGTCATCCCCTTAATTGCTGCGGAATTTAAAAATATACAGTGATCTGTCACACGGACTCTCAAGAAAATGACATGCAATTATTATTTTTTTGCCATGACTTCTTGAAATATAGCATATGCATGAATTGGCTTTATTAAGCCAGCAATCAGATGGCACACCCATGCTACCAAAACGGGAAGGCAAATGCATAAAAGAAGTAGGCCTACAAGTATTGGCCAGTGAAACCAAGAGAACCAATCAGGTAATCCAGGTAATTGTGAAAACTTACCAATAATATGGTGAATATCATCCAACTGGTTTTGAATTGTCTGTGAAAAATCAGGTATATTAAAACAGCACATTCCAGGAAATTGTTCACAGGCCAAATGTTCTTTCAGCAACAAATAGTCTATGGCAGCACGATTCTGGAGCACTGCCACTCGAACTTCTCCCAGGTCCGGATTAAGTTCTGACAGTATGGAGGCAGTCAGATCTGCAGTCTTGCTGTAGGCACAGGCCAGCTTAGGTATTTCCTTCTGCATTCTTACAACAAGTCCTGGTACAGGCAACACAAATGCAGCTGTGACGGCAACGGCAACGGGGTCGAACAATTTCAAGTTGTCAACAAATTCAAGTTGTCGTCACAATCTGGAGGCAGGGCTCGGGTCACTTTTCGGTGTTAAAATCCAGGATGATCTATAAGTGCTGGGAGAATACGTCCTATACCACAAATGTCTTGATAATGTGAGGAAAGGGCTTGATACGTTTTGTTATCACACAAAAACACCCAGCCATTTGGGAGTCTATATCCATATGGTCATTTTACATGAATAGTAGAATTACAGTAAGAAGGGATATTAGTACAATTGATACATATACAACTAGAAACTATAGTGGTGCTAACTGGTAAATTCAATTGAATTTCTCAAGTAAGAATTTTGGGGGCTAAAGTAATTTTTATTCCATTAATATTAGTAAACACTGAAAAAGGGAGTCCTATGCCTATCAGATTCTTCTTTAAGATTTCACTAATAGAGGAATCACCTGGTATACAAAAAGATGTCTTGTTAAGCCCTTGATTAGCCAATTGCAACCACATATTGGGTGAAGAATACTCATTCTCTGGGGTTAGTGAAATATTCAAATAAACATAACTACTTTTATATATTTGATCAGGGCTTCTCTTCTGGAATTTTTCACAAGAATAATTGCCAATATCATTCTGGGTTAAAACTGTTTTATAAATATCATAGCGGGTATTGTCTCTTTTAGACTGATCGGTAGCATTATCCCAACCAAGTTTTCCTCCATCTTTCTGTCTATATATTTCATTACCATCCTTTTTCCAAATCACCGGGCCTACAGGAGTTGAACAAGTGGAGATACAATGAAGTACTACTCCGTGGCCGAAGTACAGACGGAGGACTGCTAATACTAGCAGTAATAGTACAGGCCAGGGTTATGTGCATATGTATAGAGATTAGAATCAAAAACTCCATTATCATGTAGGGATTCTCACTCCAGTGACAGGAACCGATTGAGGGACATCGCCTGGGACAGCCGTCTCAGATGGCGATGTTGCTGGGAGTTCCTCTTTGTAGCGTATCTTGATCTGCTTTCTAGGCAGCCAGATCAAGCGTTGGTCCTCTGTAATGACGCAAACAAACCCTTTGCCCCCACACCTTAATATGACCTTTATGCCATTGTGAAGAACCTATTGGAGACCACCATACAGGAACTGCTGTTGTTTTAGAAAAATAGTCAGAAAAATGCACTTCCATAGCTGATTGTCCATCACCCTTTAAAAGATCAAAATTAAGGATATGTAAAGCATGTATTAATCATTGATTTGCAGTTAATTTTATCATATCGGGCAGTAATCCCCCTTTTTGTTTTAATGAATAATGCTTAAGAGTAGGATGGCGATGTTCAATTAGAGCTTGGCCTGTAGAATTGTATGAAATGCCTGTTTTATGAGTGATATTTTATGGCTGAGAAAAAATTTTTTAACATAGAGGACAGGTAAACTGGAGCATTGTCAGTCAGCTTAAGAGAAAAAGCTTAAAACATTTTGTCAGCAACATTTGAAACAAAAAGCTATAAAATCATTTTTCTGTAGTTTACTTAATTTTATATAACTAATACCCGTTCTGCTGAAATCTAGTTCTTTACTAGTTTAGAAGTAATTAAACAGTGCTTATAAATGACAAAAGACTTACAAATGACAATGGTTAAAGATCTGATGAGAACTTACTGTAAGACAGTTGATATACATAAATTTGGATATTTCTGTAACAAAACATTCAGTAATAAAGTTTAGCATTATTCCTTTTGACAGTGCTTTCTAGGTAAATATATATCAGGTAAATAAGCCAAATTAGTCAAATATTTTCCTTGATGAGGTGAAGAAATTCCTCTGATATGTTCCAGGGGCCCTCTGGAACATATCAGAGTTAACTAGAGGTCAGAGCACCTTTGTGAATTTGATTCGGAAAGTAGCCAGAAGAAAGTTTCTTTGGCATTTGCTTAACTAAGATTATAGGTTGCCATGAAGTAACACTTATCCATTTAACTAGAATTACAACAAAATACTTCAAAGGCAGATACAGAAGTTTACACAGTTGTTAGCAAAGTTTAACTTTTAGTCCTTTGATATTAGAATCTCATTTTCTTAAATACTCAGACAATTCATTGAGACTTTAAGCATGAGAAACTATTTTGATAAAACAATTAGAAAGCCTTTTGCAATCTTTCAACATTAAGAGCAGACTAACAGTTTAAGAAAACTTTGTCTTTTTAACTGAAAATAAAATTCTAATTTTGCTATGTACTTGATATCAAGACTTACTTGCTTTAATTTTACATAGCATGACTATATCAATTTTTCCACAAGTTTTCTACAACTTTCCTTTTACATTCAGTGTTCTCCCCCTTTAAATAAATAACTACTTTAGAACAATTACCTTCTTTTACTCTCAACAAAACGAATTTCTATTCTTTATACTTTCTCTTATTAAAAGACACATCTTTAGCATACAGAAATATTTTCCTTATTCAGTGAACACTGGAAAATAGGCTACTGTAAACTGTTACACCAGTATTCTTCAGATTGATACATCTATGAACATATATTATCATATTTGGAAATGTGCCTTACAGCACAATTTCTCATTAGGCACAAAATATGTCTATATAACTTAGCAAACTTTAAGAATTTTGGTTACCACAAAGATTCTCAGGCTGTTTGCAGATATATACACTGTTATACATTAATACAGTATTATTATTAAGAAGTTTATTTGCTACACTTGTTTACTTATTTTTAGCAACCATGCTAGATTACTTATAAAAGTTTTACCAAACATTAGACAAAGTCAAGGTTTTCTTTAAGTATCTTCTTGAAATGTTTAACAGGTAACATCAACTTAAATGACTTTAAGTAAACTTTGGCAGCTGATAACTATAAGGACATGTCCGTTTCAGTTAAACTTAAATCAGCATTAATGCTTAATATTTTTTATTAGATTTTCTGGAAGTTTTAGAGTACCCAATTTCCACAATTTTTATTAATACCATCCGGAGGTAGGAAAATATTTTTCATTTACACACTAACATACAAATTGAGACGTAATGACTACAGTTTAGCAACACTTTTCATATGAAAACATATACACAGACAGACAAACTGATATAAAGATTTGAGTTACTGATATTTAATTGCTTTCTTTTTAGCCTACTTGATTAAAAGTACTTCAGTTTTCAAGAATACACTCTAAGGGCGAGCAGTTTACGTAACTGGGTTAAGGTTTAGACGGCCCCAGACTAACAGGGCCGATGAAGGCTCTGAACTGGTAGGGACTGTGTGTGTCCAGGGGGCTGGAAATGAAATGCAAGTACAATTCTAGCTCCAATCATTTAAAGCCAGGCTGTACTGCAGAAGAGAAATTTCTTCTCTCTCAGGGAGTCTAGTTTAATACTTCTCAATTTTCAAAGATAATGATGAACTTCATAAGTAGAATAGATTTTCACTAAAAGAATTTAGAAAACTAGTTCCATATTGTAGTAGTTCATGGGACTTTTGACTATTTTCTTTCCTTGTGGCAAAATATATTTAGCTGTATAACTTTATATTGCATACTTCTTTTAGGGGCCAAGCCTCTCTAATCAGAGAGTTTGCACTGGGGCCAGGTTTGTGTGCAGAAGATAAGACACTTCTTTTTTAGAATTTAGGGATTGAATTGCTCTCAGTTCCTTTTCTTAGTTTTTTCTGCCCGAGCTCTAGTCTTTCCTTGAGAGGCCCCTGGCTGCCTGACAAGTGCAGGGACTGGGTGACTTTTCGCTGCTAGAGCCTTGATCTGAGTCACAGGCTTGTTTTGCTTCCCTGGGGCTGCAGACAAGGAAACGCTTAGCTCCAGGACAACTGCCTCTAAGGAAAGGAGTCAGTAGAATAGAGCTATTTACATATTGGTCTGAGGGTTCAGCTTGATTACTTTACAGGCTCTATTTACATTACACAGGAGAAAGTGGCGCAGGTCTAAGAGGACTGCTTTGAAGGGGGAGCAAGGGAAATTCATAAGAGTAAAAGGTTGGTGTAAGTCAATTTTTGATAACTGAGCCTTTTGAGTGTGTTGTTCTACCTACTTGAGTCCTTCAGCTTTTAAGGTTAAGTCTCTAGGACTATTAAGATCTGAGGGTCTTTTCAAAGTATTGAAGAGATATTGCAGTTTATAAGTAGGAATATTTAATAATGGTCAGATCTAACTGATATCTCTTAATAATCTTTGAAAATCATTTAAAGTTTTAAGATGATCTCTCCTTATCTGAATTTTCTGAGGGATTATTGAATTTTCTTGAATTCTATTCCCCAGGTAATTCATTGGGTATTGTATTTGTATTTTATCAGGAGATATTTTTTTTTTGAGAGGGCATCTCTCATATATATTGATCAAATGGTTGTTAACAACAATAAAATTCTGTACAGGGGACTCAATGCTCAATGCACAATCATTAATCCACCCCAAGGCTAATTCTCAACAGTCTCCAATCTTCTGAAGCATAACGAACAAGTTCTTACATGGTGAACAAATTCTTACATAGTGCTGTAAGAGGGCAAATGTAGATGATCAGGTGTGTGCCTGTAGACTAAGTATTAATCCAGGCTACACAAGGGCAACACAACATCCACGGATGCAGAAGATTTCTCTCAAAACGGGGTGGGTGAGGTTCTAAGCCTCACCTCTGTTGATCCCCAATTTCTCACCTGATGGCCCCCCTGCGACTGTGCCTATCTTAGGTTGTTCCTTATCAGGAGCTATTTTTTTTTTTTTTTGAGAGGGCATCTCTCATATTTATTGATCAAATGGTTGTTAACAACAATAAAATTCAGTATAGGGGGGTCAATGCTCAATGTACAATCATTAATCCATCTCAAGTCTAATTCTCGTCAGTCTCCAATCTTCTGAAGCATAATGAACAAGTTCTTACATGGTGAACAAATTCTTACATAGTGAATAAATTCTTACATGGTGAACAGTACAATCAGGGCTATTTTTAAGCCCCATGATTTTAATTCAACTTTGGTCTCATTGAGAATAGTAGTAAGAGAGATGTTTATGTAGAGTTATGAGAATATCATCCATATTATGAATGATATCAGCTGAGGGCCATTTCTCATGTATAGGCTGAAGGGCTGTGTGCACACAATTTGGCAAATTGTGGGGTTCTTTAGCATTCCTTGAGGAAGCACTTTCCATTGAAATCTTTCTGAAGGGGCCTGTAAGTTTAAAGAAGGGACAGTAAAAGCAAATTTTCCCCTATGTGTTATGGCCAAAGGAATTGTAAAAAAGCAATCTTTAAGGTTAATGACAGCCATATTCCAGTCTTTTGGAATCATAGCTGGAGAAGGGAGGCCTTGTAGTAAAGGTCCCATAGGTTTAAGAACCGCATTTATTTGCCTTAAGTCGTGTAAGAGTCTCTAATTTCTTGACTTCTTTTTTATAACAAATACAGGGGAATTCCACGGGCTCGTGGACAATTCTAATCTATCTAGCTGAAGCTATTCTTTAACTTGTGTAAGGATGCCACTTTTCTTTATTAAGGGGCTATTGATCCGCCCAAACAGGCACAGGGATAATGTTGCCCTGTCTGTGAGCCTCTTTGAAATCTCTTAATGCATTACTCTCATCAGCTTGTCTGAGTGTTCTCTGTGGAGGCAACTGATAACAATACTTTTTAATACATTTCTTTTTAGAAGTTTTCACTCCTGGTGTTTTCAGGAGGGCACGGAGTAATTTTAAGTAATCCTCCGGTTTATCTGCTTTAGTTTCATGTTGGCCCATTATAGTGTCCCTGATGTCTCGATCCTGTCCCTACATACGCTTTCCCGGGAGTCTTACCGGATCGACAGTCTTCGGAGCTTCCCCGCTCTGAGTTTTCAAGGGTCGCCTGGAGCGGAGGTTCCCCGCTCTGAGTTTTGACCATCTTTCAGGTCCCTGTTCGGGCGCCAGTTGTCGGCCTCCTCCCCGTCTCCGACCCGCAGATAAAGGAGGCGACGCGATGAGATATCGAAGACCTGAGTAGGCCAGCCAGGGGACTCAAGGCATACCAGCTCGAGTGGTGCTGGAAAGGCACCTCTCATGTTTATTGATCAGGTATCACATTCTTGAGTGGGTTAACAAGTTTCTAGACACAGTGATTAACATGCTTTACTCCAGGAATGTAATTGCCCCCAGGTCGCTGGGGCAAGTCGTCCCTGGTGCCAGACAATGAGGGGGTAGAGATAACAAGAAACAGATCTCGGTTTAGATTTAGTGAGCTGTGGCATGTGCCACAGATTCCAAGGAAGGCAATCAATTCCCATAGAAACAGAATGATCTGTGGATGGCAACCTACCGCTTCTCCTAGTGTGGTCTGCAGATCTGCAGCTGGGGCATGACCTGGGGGCCTGGCAGAAGTGTAGCATCTGCAGAGCTACTGAGGGGGCACTGCATTCGAGCATGACCCCCAAGGGCTTGGTACCCCCTTAGAGTCGGAGAAGCTTGGCTCTCAGTCCCTCAGGTAGAGGACCCGGTGAAAGACCCAGGTCCTGCTCTTGTCTGAGCAGGGGTGTGTACCCTCAGGGCCTACCCAGCGGCTCCCCCCGTATGTCAGTAGGGGCTGAGCACTGGGTTGAAGCCCTCTCTTGCCTGTTTTCTCTTGGTAGGTGCCAAGCTGGGGATGCATTCCATTCCCATCGCCACTGCCTGTACCATCTACCATAAGTTCTTCTGCGAGATCAGCCTGGACGCCTATGACCCCTACTTGGTTGCCATGTCTTCCCTGTACTTGGCTGGCAAAGTGGAGGAGCAGCACCTGCGTACTCGGGACATCATCAACGTGTCCAACAGGTAATGGCCTCTAGGCCCAGGCACTTGATAGGACTTCCTGATGTTGAGCTCAGAGGGAAGCACCTGGGTGCCTTGAACCAGACCCAGAAGTCCTAGCAGCAAAGATGGGCATGAGCCTGATGTCAGAAGCGTGGGGGTGGGGTGGGGATTCTGTGGGAGAGAAGCTTGGACCAGATTCTGGGAGGCCTCAAAGGCCACCTGGAGTGTGGAGGGTGGGTAAGAGGGAGTCTCTGGCATCATGGGGAATGGGCGGCATGGCTGGAGCAGAGGGAGCTTGGAGATGTGTGTCAGATTCATCTGGAGTCATGGACTGGAGGGATGGCACCAGTTGGGTTCTGGGGGCCCCTTAGATCAGCCTGCATGGTGGGGAGGATGTGGACCCAGTTGGGCAATTGGTTTGTTTAGATGGTGTGAGAAACTGAGTCAGAATTGCTAAGGAAGGTCTCCTGCTCTGCTGTGGGCACAGTGGTCTGTGGGGGAGCCAATGTTCCTGCTGGGGAGGGATGTGTGGGGGTCTAGCTGGCCCACCAGGCTGGGCTGAGGCCTGGGAGGCTGGGGGTATCCCTGGACAAAGTGATTTATGGAAAGTTACTGACTAGCAGTGTGCCGTGGTCTTTCCAGGAAGTCCTATCAGTAGGGAAGAAAATTATTTTGTGCTGCTTGTCTTTTGATAAACACATGATGGAACAAGTCCGCCCCCCCTGCTAAGCGCGACAGGTTCACGGTGTGCTGTGAAAGACTAAGAGGAGAGATAGGAGAGGGGACAGGGAGGGCATTTCCAGGTCCCTGGCAGGGAGGACATGCAGGCGAAATTGTCTGGGTCATTAATTAGACGGGGGCACCTGGGTGGGGGTTCTGTGGGGAAATTGGAAAACGAGTCATAGCAGGGAAGTTTGACCACTTGAGTGTGAGTCGTCTTCTTGTACTCTTGGGTGATCTTGTGTAGGTGGGAATGTTGGATGTATGTACAGTATAAATAAGGACAGAAAGATCTGGAATGGAGGAAAGACCATTTGGGAAACAGGAAGCTGAAATGTTCACTCTCCTGAGTATGTCATCCCCATGATGTATTTAAATACCTTCCTTGATCCTGGAGTCAGAGCCTCGGACACTGCCAGGCTGACTGTAATAGGCAGCACCACTGACTTCGCATGCTTGAGCTTCCAGTTCCTCTGGGCATTGCAAAGAGGCCACCTTAAACTTGACATCTTGCTATGGGACAGCCCATGGGGGCTAAAACTAGAAGCTGGCTTCTTTCCTCTGTCCATGACTGTTTTTGTCCTATACACTGCACAGGTAGATGGAGAATGACCTATAAAAGCATAAGTAGAATGACGCCATATTAATCTGTGGCAGAAGGACACTGGAGTATTGGGACATCATGTGACTTAAAGGGCTCCTCGGGAACTTCCGTGGCTTTCGTCAGCAGTGCTCTTACTCTGCACAGGTACTTTCACCCGGGCAGCGAACCTTTGGAGCTAGACTCCCGCTTCTGGGCACTCCGGGACAGCATTGTACAGTGTGAGCTCCTCGTGCTGAGAGTCCTGCGTTTCCAAGTCTCCTTCCAACACCCACACAAGGTACATGCTGGGCAATTGGTAACTGTTTCTAGAAGCACAGACCACTTTGTTGGTCCTGAAAGTGCACCCATCTAATCCTCAAGGGCAGGCAGAGTATGGGAGGAAGAGCAAGACTGCTGCTGGAAACGGGGCTCCCTCCCAGCTCCCTCCCAGCTGCATGCCGTGACTGGCTGCTCCTGGGGTTTTCTCAAGCAGTTCCAGTTCCAGCTTCTGCCTTTCCACCTGCTTGGCTGTGGCCACAGGCTGGGATCCACACGACCCTCTGAAGAACTTGCAGGTCCTGGAACCTGAATATCTGTGTGTGCAGTGAGCCACAGGGAAACAGGGCTGGTGTCGTGACCCACCAGAGTCCCTGTCCCAAAGAGTTGGCTGCTGTGCCTGGGAGCTCACAGCCTGCTCAGCTATGCTTAGAAACCCACAAGAAGAGCGGAGTGACTTGAGCGGAGCAGCATGCTTCTAAGTGCTAGGGACACGTTATGTCCTGGCAGAGGAGCTGTTTAAAACAGCAGCAAAAGGGACATGTGAAACCCTAAGAGCACTTGGCTGTGATACTGTGGGGGCCACAGGCCCCTGTGAAGGCAGCTTGGGAGGGTGGCCTGCAGAGAGACACTGGGGCTGGGGCTGTTTGTGAGCTGAAGCTCTGTACCAGGATCTTGTTTCCTTTTAATTGAAATTTTTGCCCAGACAATTATGGATTTATAAGCAGTGGGAGGAAATAACACAGAGATCCCATTTGTGATGGAGGCTGCCTCTTCTTCCCCAACGGAAACATCATGCAGAACTCGAACACAGGGTGGCAGCCAGCATCCTGATACATGGAGGTGCTGCCCAGGGCTGTTACTTGCTTGTTACTTGTACTGCACAGCGCGCTGTACAGTCGTATCAGCTGTACCTTCTGGTGTCCACTGCCGACTGCACTTAGGATACGAAACAACTCCATAACCACAGGGATCCTTACCATTTCACCCCCATCCTTCTTTTTTTTTTCTTTTTTTTTTTTGTATTTTAAGATGATTTTTTTTTTGACAGGGCATCTCTCATATTTATTGATCAAATGGTTGTTAACAACAATAAAATTCTGTATAGGGGAGTCAGTGCTCAATGCACAATCATTAATCCACCCCCAGCCTAATTCTCGTTAGTCTCCAATCTTCTGAAGCATAACGAACAGGTTCTTACACGGTGAACAAATTCTTACATAGTGAATAAGTTCTTACATGGTGAACAGTACAAGGGCAGTCATCACAGAGACTTTCGGTTCTGATCACGCATTATGACCTATAAACAATCAGGTCAAATATGAATATTCGTTTGATTTTTGTACTTGATTTATATGTGGATCCCACATTTCTCCCTTTATTATTATTATTATTTTTATTTTTAATAAAATGCTGAAGTGGTAGGTACATGCAAGATAGAGGTAGAAAACATAGTTTAGTGCTGTAAGAGGGCAAATGTAGATGATCAGATGATCAGGTGTGTGCCTATGGACTAAGTATTAATCCAGGCTAGACAAGGGCAGCAAGACATCCACGGATGCAGAAGATTTCTCTCAAAGCAGGGGGGGTGAGGTTCTGAGCCTCACCTCTGTTGATCCCCAATTTCTCACCTGATGGCCCCCCTGCGACTGTGCCTGTCTTAGGTTGTTCCTCCCTTGAGGAATCTTACCCGTCTCTGGCTAACCAGTCATCTTCCGGGGCCATACAGGGAAATGTAAAGTTGGTAAGTGAGAGAGAAGCTATAATGTTTGAAAAGGTTAGCTTTTTACTTCTTTGCAGATTTATGCCCTGTGGCTTCTATGCCCAGCATTTGTCTTGAGGTATCCTTACCACTTCACCCCCGTCCTTCTTAACTGCCTCTCTAATCCTGGAAACCTCTGGTGGAGACTTTGAAGCAGTTGTGCTTTTGGTTGGTCTTTCAGTTGGCACGATGCAGGGGACAAGCAGGAGCCACACTGGCTCTGCAGGGGGTGGTCATGGGGCACTGTGTCTGGGGAAAAGCCACACTGGCTGCGGGGCACCGTTGGGTTGGGGAGCCGGGCTCAGGATTGCTGTGAGCGCAGTGGCCTTCCCCTTACAGTGGGTTGGGATGGGTGTAAAGCAGCGGGCGAATACCCTCCTCCGTGGCATGCTGGCATCCTACGTGTGTGTGTTCAAGCCTGCCGAGCGGGCTCACTGGTGTGTTCCACAGAGCGGGAGGTTCAGGCAAAGCAGCTGTCTTCCCAGCGTGGGAGCTGACAGACAGCTGAACTGGAAGGTCAGTAAGAGTTACGGTCAGCAGCTTCTTGTCCTCCTGAAAGCAGGTGTCCTGTCACCAGCTAGCCCCTAGCCTCAGTCTGGGCAGCCTGGCACAGTGTTCTGCAGATAAGGACACTGTTTCTGGAGCTAGTGTTTGAGTTTGGAAAGGGCATGAGCAGAATGATTTCCGGTGGCCAGCGCAGGGCATGTGATGGAGAGGGACTGTGGTGGGGGTGGCCCTCGTGAGTGGCCCAGGTGGGACTTAGGAGCTGGCCTGGACAATGAGAGTGGACAGGCATGTGGGGCCGGGGACAGGGGGCCGGGAGCAGTGAGTGCCGAGGCCCTGAGGTGGAGCATGCCTGGCACGTTTGAACACAGCAGGAGGGCTGGCTGAGGGTGCTGAAGGCTGACAGGGAGTCAGGGCTTGGAGGCCAGTGGAGGCACTGGGGCTTTTTTCTCTGTGACACAGGCAGCCGTTGCAGGGTTTGAACAGGGAGGTGACTCAATTCAATTTGTGTTTTATTCACATTGAGACAGCTTTGGGGAGGTTGGCTGGTGGGCCAAAGGCCCACAGCGCCTCGCAGTGAAGAGGCAGGCTACTTGGGCCGGAGCCCCAAAGGCCACCTGGCTGACTGGCATGTCTTTGCAGTACCTGCTCCACTACCTGATTTCCCTCAAGAACTGGCTGAATCGTTACAGCTGGCAACGGACCCCCATCTCCGTCACTGCCTGGGCCCTGCTGCGGGACAGCTACCATGGGCAGCTGTGCCTCCGGTTCCAGGCTCAGCACATAGCTGTGGCAGTGCTCCACCTGGCCCTGGAGGCCTATGGGGTCGAGGTGCCCGCCGAGGCCGAGGCCGAGAAGCCGTGGTGGCAGGTGAGGTGACTGCTCCGTGCCCTCGCATGTGTCCCTCTTTTCTATGCTTAAGGGCTTTCAGAAGTCCCTGGACCTGGGTGTTCATGAGTCTTTGTAGTAATTATCCATGAAGAAAGCTATGGGCTAGTTGGGAATATTGAACTTGAAGACACTCTGTCACGGTTATCTAAGGCAGGGGCTCTCCCCATTGCTACTGTGCACCTTTGGGGCCAGGTCACTCTCTGATGGGGCTGGCAACTGAAAGCATCTCCAGACACTGCCAGGTGCCCCGGGGGCTTGCCCCCCTAGTGGAGAACTACTGCGCTCAGCCAAGCACTTCTAGTGAATCGAGAGCTTGTCATAGATCAGAGGTGAATAAACCTGCTTCATGTCAGAAGTCTAGGGAGTCCTCTAAAAAGATGGATGGATGATTGGTAGATAGATGATAGATATAGATGGATAATGGATGGGTGCATGGGTGAATGAGACTGACGATTGATAGATCCCCGCCTTCCACCAGACCTCCTGAATCCAAAGTGCACTTTGTAGAGAGTGAGTTGATGTCTTCTGGCAGGAGGGCTGTACTCACAGACCTCTGCAGTCCCATCTGATGTTCTGAGTAGTCCCGCTGCTTCTCAAACTGGAGCTTTGAGATCATTTCTGTCTTTCCTTTCCCATACGGAAGTTTGTGTCCTCACTCAAACCACCTCATTGTCTGGACGTGTCCTAGAATGAGGTTCTATGTAAGCAGAGTTGGAGGTAACTGAAGGTCTCTCCTTTTTGTGCACCACCCCTCACCTGCAAACCCACAGTGGCCAGAAATCTTCTGAAGTGTGTCATCTATTTCCTGAACAGAGGGTGCCCCTTAGGTGCCTTACCAGGCCTGCTCCTGCAGCTCTTGGTTTGAAGGGCGCCCCCTCCCTTCCCTGCTGTACCCACCTGCTTGCCTTCCGGATGACCCAGCTTTTCCTTTTCATTGCTGTTGTCCTTTATCATCTGTCTAACCCTGCCCTGTGCTCCCACCCCCACTACCAGAGTGTAAGTGTGTGGTGGCTTGTCTGCTTTATCACTTGCCCTGCATCTGTCTTGGCCCCAATGTTCCCCCACGGCAGTATGGGGGTGAAAGGGTGTCTGTGTGGGCACAAGTATTGCTCCACTCTTGGGCCTCTCAAGTACTACCAGATCATGTGACCTCGGTGTCCCTGCCCTGTTGGAATCAGGTGGTGTCAGAGGGACTGCTCTCTGAGGACGTCTCGTGGGCGCTGTGACCCCAGTTTGTCTTTGCTGGGATCTGCCTTGTCGCCCCTCATCTGCCACTGTCCGTGCAGGCTACCCTCCATGTGTCTTCCTTTCTGCTCTCCTGAACATCACTGGGCATCTCTGTACTGCCCCTGCCCCGTGCTCTCCGCTCTCATGCGAGAAGAGCACCAGGAAGCAGCTCCATGAGCCTATTTTCTGGGCAGCATAGACAACCCAATAATTGTTAAAACTGGGACAAAGTGGCCCCTTTGAGGTGGCGTGCTCACATTCACCCAGCTCCTCACCTTCTCCAGATGACTGTGGGCCACATGCACAGGAGTGTCCAGCGTGTGGGTGCCCTTCGGGCTCGTGAGGCGCGAGCGCCAGCTGACTAGTGATGAGCAGCTCCCCATGACAGCCCTGCCCACCCAGCCCTGGGATGCTTGCGTCTGCTTTGTGCAACATGTTCTCCCCTTGCATGCTCTCCGCCACCACTTCTTGCAGCAACCACCTCCCTGCTGTCACTTGTCCGCTGCGGGCTGGGGCTTTGCCGTGTTGGCCAGGAGACTTGGCAGAGCCTGATGTGCTTCCCCACCAGAAGCCTGCCTGCGCTCGGGCACAGTCGCGGGGGTGGGGGGTGGCCTCTGTGCCAAGCTATGTCGGACTTCTGGGTAGCTGAGACACCGACTCTAAAGTGGTAGCATGTGGTAGCGTGTCAGCATTTCCATCCTTTGTGAGGCTGGATACTCCTCCATGGCATGGAGAGGCCACACTGTGTTGGCCATTCTTTCATGGATGGGCTCTTGAGTTGCTTCTGTTTTGTGGCCCTGCACTGTTTTTTAACCCTCATTTCTTGCCTTGGGGTCTCAAGGAGCGCACAGGTAGTGTGCTGGCAGACAAGCTCATATTTCTGAAGAAGTATTTGTTTTCCACCCAGAGTCCAGGGCAAGATGGCTGATCTTCCTGAGCCAGGACTGGGGGGTTTTCAGGTCATATCTCCCACCTGGAGTGGTAGCCTGCAGAGGGTCCTAGCTTTCCTCAGGGGCCGTGGAGTGGGTGGCCTCAGGTCCAGGTTTTGCCTGGGCTCATCCCAAGGCCTTGACCCTAATGGCACCTCGGTTCCCCAGGCAGCAGTCCCCTGGCCCAGGGGGCCCACAGCATCCAGCCAAGGGCTCCTCTTTGCTGTTTAACTTCCCATGTCACCAGGGGTCCCTGAGAGCACCCTTAGCTTCTATGCTCCACAGGGGGACTCTTAGGCCTCAGAAAAGCCGTTTTACTCGTGCTTGTGGTTCTTATGGTGAATTCCAGAGAGGATGCAGGGTGAAATCAGCAAAAACAACAGGAAGGTAGGTTCTGGGAGCGGCCGTGGTGTCCAGGGCCTTCACTGAGAGTCCATCCTGTAGGCCTGGAGCGCCCACGTGGCTGACCTCAGTGAGTCTCCGCCCCCCTGGAGGTCAAGCCGCTGTGTGTGGCCCAAGAGCCCTCCAGCTATCACGCTGTCCACATAGACTGCCTGGTGGGGCCCTCAGCCCCTGGCAAACTGAGGCACTCTCATCAGGCAGGGTGTGCTTGGCCTAGAGGGCCCCCCCCCCCAGACCCGGGCAAGGGCCAGACCCTCCTTGGGGTCACGCATGGTCAGCCGCGTGCCACATATCGCTGTTGCTTTGGTCCCCTGGGGAATCACCTCACAGTTTTATAAGCTCTCAGGCATGGTCAGGAGGATATCTGTTCTAGGGTATAGAGCGGGTCCAGGTGTTCCCCAGGGGCTCTCCTGGGGTGGGGTCCAGGTGATCTAGTCCGCCTATTTCTGGGAATGGACTCCCAGCCCCTTTGCCAGGATTACGGGGGGTGGGGGTGGGAGGAGCTTGTGCTCAGGGCCCAGCTGTCACCCACTCCCTGTGTAAGCTCAGACCAGTCCCCCTCTCTATCTGGGTTCGATGATCACCAGGGTCTCTTCCATCTGGAATGTTCTCTGCCTTGTGATCAGCCTTTGCAGAATTGAACTGGTTTTGCAGAGAGCCACTGTCATTTCCAACTGCAATGGGCAGGGCCGCGAGCTGTGCCCCATGCAGTGTGATTCTGTGCTTAGTGGCAGGCGCCTTGTTTAACGCAGAGGGAGTCTAACTGGAGCCTGTTTTCCTTCTCCTTTCTAGGTGTTTAGTGACGACCTTACCAAGCCAATCATTGATAACATTGTGTCTGATCTCATTCAGATTTATACCATGGACACAGAGATCCCCTAAGGCCCTGGTCCAGGCCTGCCCAAAGAGAAGCCCGGGACGCTCGGCTGCCTGGGGACGGCATCACCACATCGCTGTGATGGCTGGTCCCCAGAGGACTGGCTGGGAGGACTGGTTTTGTGCTGCTGGATACGGCTGGTGAAGGCGATGACATGCTGCCACTTTGATTGTCATGCTTTGACTGTCCCCGGCAGCCGTGGTCCAGACGGTGACGGGAGCTGTGCCTCCAGCGGGCAGGCCAGGAGTGCGCCATGGGGTGGCCCCAGGCGTCCATGTCTGCTTTTGTTCTTTGAGAGGATTCCGACTGAAATCGAGGCGTGACTTCATGGGAAGGAAAATCAAATGGATGGGACTGTACCCCTGGGGATTTTTTTAAAAGCCAGATTTATAGAAAGTATGAATTATGCAACATAGATGGGATTTTATTTTGTGTAATAAAAGATGATGCAAATCAACAGAGACACCCTGTCTTTGCTCTGGGCTGTTTATGGATGCTGTCCAGACATGATCACTCTGAAAATACTCTCCAGGTGACAATGCCCCTTGTGCTCCTGAGGCGTTCTTGGGGCAGGCCCTCCATTGCTTCCTGAGGGCATGATGGCCACTGAGGACAGCCCACGGGTCCTCAGTCCTCCCGCCTGGGACCATGTGCAGGACTTGGCAGTAGTCCTGCTCCGTGAGTGAGCATAACTTTTGGATAAAAGGGATTAAAGGGTATCATTTGGGTTCAAAAAACCCAGCTCTGACCAAAATGTAACTAGAAAGTAGATGGGATTTTTAAATGTCAAGACAGCGTGTCTCAATCGGGAGCCTAGAGACTCACAGAGCTGTGGCATCCTCCTGGCTCCCACTCCAAAGGCACTTCTTTAGGAAGGACCAGCTCTTCTCCCTGGGCAGCTCCACTGGGCTGGATGCACGCTGCTGGCGCTGCCCGTCCACATGCAATGGCATGCGGGCCAGCGGCCTGTCCGGGTGTTTTCCTGCATCAGACCCAGGCGTTGGGGCTGGGTGGATTGCCTGGGATCCACCGGGGAGCTTCAAGTGCTGGCCCTCAGGGTCACAGGGAGGGCTCACACACTGATGACAAGTAAGGCAGTCTTCTGGGTGAGGGAGCTGAGTATATGTCCTCTTTTCCACTGTGTCCTTTCCGACTGTCCACCCAACTCAGCTACGATCCCTCTGAGGGCAGGGTTGGTGCCTTGTCCCAGGGCTCAGGGGTAGGGATCTGAGCGTGGAGGGTGGAGAGTGAGGGGCCCAGCTGGTGCTTTCTGCCTCCTGTTCAAAAAGCATCTGGCCTCTGTGTGCCTTCCTCCCCACAGACTGGGCCCAGGTAGCACTGCCCCAGCCCTGGGCCTCGCCGGCCCTGCACTGACCAGGCACTCCCCTTATTGATCAGAATGGAGCCACGAGACAGACATTTCCCCTTTGGATTCTGTCTTCTCTCGCCTGACAAGGAGAGAAGGAGCTTCAGTTGCTTTGGGTCCCCTCAGGTTCAGCCTCCAGCAACTTGTGTTAAACTTTCTCCAACCCACTTGTGTCACACTGTCCCGGGGACTTGCTGGCTTTGTGTGCTGGTCTCTGGGCCTGTCCTCTCAGCACCTGTTAGTCAGGGGTCATCTGTATGTTTGCCTGGGGCTGCTGGGGCTGGAAGCCCCACCTTCAGCGTGTGCTGTCATTGGAATGCCAGATGTGACATTGTCGAGAAAGGTGTGACAGAGCCGGCCCTGCTTTGTGAGGACAGAGGTACAGGGTGGTTTGAGTTTGCTTTGGTTTTATGTTACTGAGGCTTTTGTGAAAAAGAATGGGAATTAAAGATATACACCCTCTACCTCCTTTATTTTAGGTTCAAAACAGGGCCTCTCATCAGGCAGGGTGTGCTTGGCCTAGAGCAAAAAGATTGAGGTAAGATTTTCTAGAACCTGAAGCTTCTAAGAGTTTTATAGTCCAGGGCATATCTTAAATCTTAATTACTGTGAAGTGATAAATGGTTGAGCCTTGCTTGGCCTGTCAATCTGGTAGAAGGGGGAGGGAAAACCAGGTCCTCCCAGGGACTCAGCCCATCTCGTCCTTTTCAGCTATAATGGAGTGAATGGTGTCCCTCGAAAGATGTGTCTACATCCTAATCCCTGGCACCTGGGGGTAGGGCCTATTTGGAAGTAGGGCCTTTGCAGATGTTGTCAAGGTCAGAAGAGACCCTATAGGAGCAGGGTGAGCCCTCTTCCAATTGGCTGGTGTCCTTATAAGAAGAGAAGAGACACAGACGTGGAGAGAGAGCACCATGTGAAGACACAGATGCACAGGGACAAGGCCACGGGATGACAGCAGCAGTGACTACCATGATGTGTGTACAAGCCAAGGAAGGCCAAGGGTTTCTGGTGACACTGGAAGCTGGAAGAGACAAGGAAGGACCCTCCCCTAGACCCTTTAGTGGGAGCACAGCCCTGCCAACACTTTAGTCTCAGACTTCTGGCCTCCAGAGCTGGGAGAGAATGAATGTCTGTGGTTTGAAGTCTCCACTGTGTGTTGCTTTATTCCAGCTGCCCAGAAATCTCATACATGGACCTTCCCGACATGTACTCTTGCTCTCAGGGTGCCCTTCGGGGTTGAAGATGGCTGTGAGCTTCATGGAGGGATAGTCGTGTAGCACTTCCATGCCCCAAGCCATTTGGCTAAGACCAATGTTTTTCTTATGAGAACCTGTGTCATATTTGATAGCAGAAATCTGGAAAAGAGAATCCACAGACACAAATTAACGATTCTTTTGCGGGAGCACAATATCTCTCAGTGAGGTGCTTGCTATCTTGATATGGCATTTGATCCGATCTCACTTAGCCTTATGGTTCAAGATAGACTGGCCCATCAAAGTGCAAGGGCTCTTTCCTATTTGCTGTTCCCTGCTATTGGTCTTTTTGCCTTTTTTAGATGTGTGAACCCTGATGGTTGGGAGGAAATTTGGAACCCATTTTTCTCCTTTTGTGGCCGCTTCCCTGGAAAATGCATTGCGAGGTCTATAAGGGTAATGTACAAGGTGACGCGATGTGGACGGTCTTGGCACTGTTGCCGTGGCAGTCGTCTGCAAATTTTGGGCCAGAGCTGCGTTTGTGGCCCTGCTGGTGGACCAGAGGATGTCCCCACACACAGGTGTTCAAAGAGACCTGGTGAGCAAAGGAATAAATGGGAGAATGACCCAGGGAGCAATTAATGAATTAATTAATGTTTTCTTCTCCCATTTTTCTTTTCTCAAAGAGAAAGTCTGATTGGAGCTCTTGTGCACTGCTGGGCAGAGGATAAAATGGTACAAGCGCTGTGCACACCGTGTTCACAGCAGCATGAGTTGCAGCGGCCAGAAGGTGGGAACAACCCGGGTGTCCATCCATGGCTGAGTGGAGAAAGGAAATGGGGGCTGTCCATACAGTGCGATAGCAAAAAGGAGGGAAATTCTTGATGACATTGTGCTAAGTGAAACTGCGCGCCACCATAAACAGACGCTGTATGGCTCCACGTCTACGAGGTGAGGGACGTAGAGCAGTCAGAGTCAGAGAGACAGAAAGGCGGACGGGGGGCTGGGCTGGGGGAGTGGGGTGGGGAGTTGGTGTCTCACGGGGACAGAGTTCAGCGTGGGGAGATGAACAAGTTCTGGGGAGGGATGGTGGGGATGCTGCACAGCAACATGAATGTGCTTGGCACTCACTGTACACTTAAAAATGTTTAAAATAGTCATATTTATGTTGTGTATATTTTAACCACAGTAAGAAAAGAGGGAGACTGCTTGTGTTCCAGGGTTCTGGCATTTGGGTTGGTGTCCCCTGCCCCCACGTCCTGGACGTTCAGGCCAGGCCCTTCCAGGTCGAGACAGTTAGAGGACCGCCCAGCAAACCTGTGCTGGGAGCTAGGCGCACCTCTGGCCCTGCAGGGCAGGCGAGCCCTCCCATTTTCCATAGTGCTGGACAGGCAGCCGCAGCCTGGCAGCTCACCCCTGCTTGGTGAAGTGGGTGAAGACACTTCTCTTTTGTTCCGGTGGAGATGTCGTCAAATAATAAATAACACACGTTACTTAGACTGGGATTGTAGGAGGCTTTTTTTTTTTTAATACACAGAAATTTTGGTCTATTTTTAAATGAGGAAGTTCAACTAGAGACTTATGCATCTGGTCTTCTTCATTAAGATAATTTTTGTTCATCTTTGTAACAGGCAGATAAAAATGTAAAACATATTTAATAACCAAACACAGCTGACCAAGCCATTCCATATAATATAATGCTTTGTAGAGAGCGGCTTCCTGATGAGACAGGTCCCTTGGCTTGAAGACTGTACAGAAATGAGAGCAACGATCCAAGGTCCCAGCACCCCTTTCTCGAGCCCCACACCCGGCAACTGAGGGACAAGACAATTGACATGCACAGGAGGCAACTCTGTACAGCAGCACTGAGGGTTTTGTACATATACATTGACTCGCTGTTGTAGCAATGTGTCTGCAAAAGAGAATGAAAAGAAGCCCATGACTGTAGCATTACATGGTTTATCTTCTTCAATTTAAATGTTTCCAATTATATTTCTGGTTTAAGAATACACAGACCCTCAACAAATTGAGTTGCCCTTTTTGTTGTTGTTTAAACAAGGACATTAGGGAACAATTTACACGTAGGTAACATTCTCAAGATGCCCTTTGGAAAAAAGGGATGGCTTTAAGTTATCTGTAGCTGGCATTTTAAGTGGGATATTCTTTCCTAACCGAAATTCCTTTGCCCAAGGCTTGACTACTCCTGCTCAGAGGTGATGTGGCATTATGTTAACGGTGGGGACTGAGGGTGCTTTGGATGCCAGCCTGGGTGCTCGCAGACAGTGGAAGTGAGAGGAGGCCCCGCGGCTGGGTGCAGGACAGGGCATATGATGGGCAAAGCAGCCTTCTGCCAGTGCAGCTGCTGAGTGTGCCCATCTGCACCAGCAGTTTCCATTCTGACCCTATGGCCCTGGCTCCCAGCTGTCCCCAGGGCCAGGCCAACAGGCACGTGTACGAGCTGTGGTCACAGCCCAGCCGCCTGCCTGCACCATGTGAGACAGCTGAATTCAGAAGCTGAAACACCCTCCCTGCTGAGTCCGTGTTTGGGGGAACCCAGGCCTGGCACACTGGTTGCCCACACTGCAAGGAGAGGCTCCCAAGGGAACCGTCTGGCAAATCTGACTTCCTTGTGAGAAAGACCCAGGGGAGTGGTTAGGGTAATGGTGTCAAGGCACCGCTGCTCCCTGCATGGCACCAAAGCCGGCTGCAGACACAAGTCGACACCCTTGTGGGTCCGAGCTGTCCTTCAACGAGAAGACTGTGAACCAAAGAGCTCTGTGGGAGGTGGTGACCAAGAACTTTCCCAGTCATTTTTTGGGCACCTCAGGGACAACTTTTTGGTATTTGCCAAAGCAAAGAGTGAGACTCCAGTTCGAGCTGCACTGTGGTGAGTCAGCTCCT